TGAAGCAAAATAATTTTTGTATTTTGTTTTCTTGACCAAAGAATTGAAACAAACAAACAAACTCATGTATATACGTTTATATAGACCCAAAAGTATCCGTTAATGAATTTCGAATTCGAAAAATAGCCGTTGATAAAACAATTTTGAGAAGATCTCTACACTGTTGCAATCGCATCAAGAAGCGAAGAAGAAAACCCAATCTTAGTAAAATGACGATATTACCCTTGCCAACTGGCACCTTTTTTTTGTCGTTGAAGTTCAAAAACTCAGACAGGCCCATTTATGTATGGTATAAGGCCTATAGTAGTTGGACTCATTAGATTTTTATAAGGCCCATTTAGCAGAACGATATTTTATGTTTATTAAAAACTGTAAGCAATAGAGAAAAGTTCTGCCAACTTCATTACAAAATTTGTATACATTCAAGCTTCTTTCAAACCCAAATGTATGATGATCAAGCACAAATGAAAAATCGAGAAAATTAACTTATGTTGAATCGAAAACAAGAGGATAAGCATAAATTATGTAAAAAATGAGAGATTTTGATTTGTGTTTTTTCAGCAATTGTTACTAAAAATACTAGTGGTATGGTATATGGTTCTGAAAGAATCACAAAGATGTTGTAAAATATCACTTGAAGATGAGATTCTGAGGAAATAAGCACTGAGGAAATGAAAACAGGACACAATAAATTAGTTTGAAGATGCTCGAGTCTTGTCTAATCGAAAACTTTGCTTGTGAGAAATATACCCTAGTAATAATAATAAGTCACTGAGTTCTTTAGTATCAAGTATCAAATGGTACAAAAGGGTGGTAGCCTAGGATGGTAGCCTAGTGGTAGCACAAGAGGGTTGGTTCTTTTGTGCCCTGGGTTTGAATTTCTTTTGGGACGGAGAGTTATTTTAAAAATCGGAATATCCAAAAACTGTCTCCAGGTACCAAAGAGACAATGAACCAAAGGTTCGGAACTCCCACGGTTTATCCAAAAAAAAAATTGATTGAGAAAATCCATATTTATGTTTTTCGAAAAAAAGCTATTAATTTCTTTAAAAGACCTATATATCATGAAATATAAAAATTTATGAAAATATCGGTAACAAGAAAATGAACTTTAAACCAATCGTTTACCATGAGTGAGCAACATCTGTAAATAAAATTACACTCGAGCAAAAACTTTACCCCACAATAATAGAAAATAATTTGTATATGGTCAATTTATAATATATTATTTGGTTAAAAATAATTTATTTTATTATTAGTTTCTCTATACTTGACATTATATTTTGCTTTAATTCGCACAAAATTGTTAATTGATACATTCAATTATAGCTGAAACAATTTATATAATCATATATATGAGTTGTTTATTCAAAATTTATATTTTTATTTATTCTAATCTCTATTCATTTTTTATTCTTGTTTTGTATTTTATAATTTCGTTTTTATTAAATTAAAATTGTATTGTATAGTAATTAATAGAAGAAAATAAATAGCAAAATGTTAAGATATAAGTGAATCATAAAATTATAGTTTTAATGTTTTTTTTTTTTGATGATGTGAAATTTTTTAAAAGATGACGTAAACACCCTAGATGGAGTGACATATTGCTAATATCATATTCACCAATAATATGTCATTAATTATTTGATAAGTAGATTTTCACCAATACAGATTATGATTTCCTTTCCTTGTTAATACTATATAAATGGTGAATATCCATTCGAATAAAAATTTAATGCTTATATATCCTTTTCAGCAAGCAAGTGAAGATCTTATATACCAACAATTCTCATAATCCATATAAAATTTTAACTATAGAGTTAATAGATAAAAAAACAAATGCTGCATTCAAGATTTGTTTTCTTTTCTTTCCTTGCCCTCTTCGTTTTACTTGCAGGTTAGTTTCATTAGATCAAAGCTTATATTAAAACAGGTTTTGTTTTTATTACTGTTTCTTAAAACGAAATCTTGAATATGTGGATATAAATACATGTTATTTTATAGATGTTGAAGCTGTAGAAGTGGTGAGTGATGGTTCGATTTGGTCTCCCAACAAAGACGCTTCTTTATGTTGCAATGATCATCCAAAATTTGGAGTATGTACTCATGATAGAAGTTGCAACAAGTGGTGTTTACAAGGTTGTGACAATAAGAAAGGTGGCTTTTGCAAGAAAAAGAAATGTCACTGCTACTGTTAGATCAGAACTAGAAAATGTTACACTCTCTTCTATACATATTGGTCAATAGTAATAATAACGATCGGTTTATTCACATTTCAAGTTCAAATGTTTTTGTCTTTTAAACTCCAAGTAAAAATAATAACTCAATGTTACACTCTCGCCTCAACCGCCATTGTATGTGGCTTATAGATCCCACCTCTGTCTAATGGTTGTTCACCACTTCACAAATTCGAAAATCTTGTCAACTACTTGGAGTCTTACAATTATGTGTTGAGTTTTGGTCTAAGTTATTATGACTAGATTTCAAA